ATGCGTGTAACTTTTGAGAACCACATGAGGCTCATACAAGCAGGGATGTAGCCACAGAGGGGACTGCAGAGGGATTTGCGCCTCCCATTTTGACAAAATTTTTATTTTTCTAGCAAAAATCGTTTTTATGGAACTCACATATATTTTTTGAAACAAAATAGTGAGTATAAGTTTTAATTTGAAGTTTTTGTGGCTTCTCCTACGCCCGCCCCGCCTATTTACAGACCTTAGCAATCCGGGCCAAAGGTCATTGAGTACGAATGCTCTTAGCAACCAAGGAGAACAATTACCAGACTTCTTTCCATAGTTCCTTAGCAACGATAAAAGACGCTAAGTGGGATTGGCACCAAGTCTTACACTGTTCGAAACTATTTCTAAGGTTTTCTTGAAATTTAAATGGCTGGAATAGGTGTTTTAAATGTTCTATATAGTGCAGTTGCTGATTTTTGCGCTGATAAACGATAATATGATAGATACCAAGATGATGGCTAGTGATGTATTGATTTGCCACAGTTGTCATATCGCCAAAACAAAAAGCATAAACTGATCAAGTTCCAACTTTCGTGAATAATCGATGCGCGTTGAGATCTGATGTATCTATAATGGATCTGCACAACAGACTTATCTGTCAATTAAATCTATGGTAAGAAGAGCGAAAATAATAGTAATTTAAGAAAAACAAAATAAACAAAGAAAATAGAAACCGAGCAAATAGGAACAAGGAAAATAAAAAATAGAGCGCCAGTAAAAAAATAAAATAAAAGAATGTCTGTTCGAAATGCAGAAATAAATAAGGCAGATTGTTTGTCTAACAATCAATTATCTTTGGAAAGCAACTATCGTCTATCAGAGATTTTTCACGTTAGGTATTTTGTATTACTATAATGAAGCTAAAGAAGATATGCGAGTTTCACATTTTATCCTCAAAGGGACCGCGTTGACAAGCTTTTTTATCGAAAAAAAAGATCGTAGAATGAAAAAAAAATTCTACACTCTCCACTCTTACAAAATTGTATATGCATCTTACGGGCTCTCAGAAAATTTCTCTTGCACTTCTCTCACTTTTTTTCTTCGCCAAATCCTGCATACATGTAATTTTTTCAAGGCTACATAGGAACAGGATCTCTAACTATTCAAGAGTACTCAGTATCGCGAATAAAATTGCGGACTTCAAGGCTTCAGAGCTTCTCGAAGCGTTTACGAGACTTTAAAAGACTGGAAAGATTTCTAAACATTTAATGAAACTTCACAAAACTCGATGAGACTTCAAAAGACTTCAAAAGGCTTCAAAAGGCGACAAAACGTTCGAAGAAGCTTCATAAGACTTCGAACGAGTTCATGAAAGTTCAACAGCTATACAGTCCACACCTTAGCCCTTGATGAGAACGCTACATGTAACATTTTCAGCTTCAGGGTAGAGCACAAAAATTATAGGCAGCATCCGCTGGTGACTTTCGAAAGGTTCCCCGTAACACGGGTGGGTACCTCTTAATAGTAATAGTTATAGGTCTCACATACCTCCTAAAAAGTTCAAGATACCACCACCAGGTGGTCCTCAAAAAGTTATAGATACCACGCTTGGATAGCTGCTGGAAGGTTAGAGATATCACCTCCAGATAGTCCCTAAAACGTTACAGATATTACCTTTAGGTAACCCCTAAAAAGTTACAGATGCTATCCCTAGATAGCCTCGAAAAGATTACAGATACTATCCCTAGTTAGTCCGTAAAAAGTTATAGATACCACCTCTAGATAGCCTTCAAAACGTCATAGGTAACCACTAAACGGTTGCAGGTTTAAGTTATTCAATTAGTCTTACTACCAAACCCAAACCCAAACTCATTAGACCAAGCTCACCAAACCCAAACGGTTTGAGTTTGATGCATGTCTATTCCAAAAACCTATTTAGTATCTGAAACTCCTCAGCAATCAAGTCCTGTGACAAATTTCGGCAGACTAGTTGATAACATATGGGGTGGTTCCATGATACTTGTGAGACGATATACACGACCTTCACCAAATCGTTTCAAACTTTCAGGGCTTGTGCAATAATCATTTCTAAGACTTTTTTACCATTGGAGAAAAGTTATACCACGTTTTGCTGAAGAACTGTACTCAAAATACTAGATGCAATCAGTCGAATGACATGTTTTACTGAAAAATAATGTTCGTCAAAATTTCACCTGTACTCCCCCTCAGCTCTTTTTTTTGAGCAGTTTCTCCTGTAGTCCCCTGGGGTGAAATTTTGAAGAACATTATTTTTCAGTACAACATATCATTCGACTGAGTCTTTTTACGCTGGTTTCGAATATGAAAGCATTTTGTTCGTAAATGGAAATCCAACACGAAAAAACGACGGCCATTTCTCTAAAACCTTGTTTTTTTGGTTTTTGACCACTTCCGTTTATTTTAAATTGTTCGACCCGAAAAAAGTTTTCAAAAAAACGAACAACACATATACGTGATGAGCTCAAATTCCTCTATCGGATGGTGTGTAAAAAAAATCGAAAATAAATTTCATGAAAAGTCTGCTTTCTGTGCGCCTTACCAAAAACCCACGATGGTTTTCTCGAAGCCCTATCGCAGGAAAACTTCATTTTCTTCCGACGGCACACATATGCTTCGACAGATCTATTGTTGGCCTAGCTAATGTGATATATCACTATGCTCAGAATTCTCTGTTAATGAAGTTTTTAGCATGGGAGTACCCGGCTATAGGAAGGATTTTCAGAGACCGACCGCTCCTCAGACGGATCGAAAAAATTCTAAAACTTATCGATTCTGATAGCCCTGATGATGAGGAATCCAAATCTACCATCAGAATTTCTTTAGAACAAAGTAGTGTAAAACTACGTGGGTTACAAGGCAGAACGTGCATAAAACTATCGTCCCGGTGGGGGGAGGGGGGGGGGGGGGGGGGCGATCCTGTGTTTTAGTTAAGTTTTTAGGAGAAGGGGGGGATG